TAGTAAAATGGGATAACTGAATCAATGGAATTGTGCAATAACTAAAGTGAAAATTTTTTAAAGTTTTAATACGAACTAGAACTTTACTAAAAGTTGGGGCTTTGCACTATTTTTACTATATTAACAATAAATCCACACACCCACATCCAGCTCTGAATAGATATATGGCGCATGCACGCACACACACACACGCGTTTATTTATTTAGTGTGACAATATATATAGTCTTAATATCTGTTAAAGACCCCTTCACTCAAGCTCGACAATGAGCAGAGACTGTTGAACTCAAAAGATAACACAGAGATTAAGATGAAATGGATGAGAAAAAGCAAAATGGTAAGATGATCCTTTTTTAAAATTATGCAAATCTACAATTTTAAAGCAATCTGATTTTCACATCAAAAATGAATTGTGCTCAGTTTTAAGACTCTATAAGTCTCCATAGACAATTTCTTACTAATAAACACGTTTTGTCTGACTGAATCTATTGTTATTGTTTGTTGATTTTGGTTAATACACGTAATTTAACTGTATATTAACAAATATATTTAATTGAACTCGATATAAAAAGGGCTATAATTATATATATATATATATATATATATATATATATATATATATATATATATATATATATATATATATATGAACATTATAAAAACAAGTAACGCTCATTTTTTTCCTCATAGTTAAAACCTTAAAACCTCTCTATATAGTTATGTCTAAAAATTGTATTTATTATTATGTAATATATTATTATATTATTTTAGACGTCTAAAAATATTATATTTAGGTAAAGGTTTGGGTATTTAGGTTTACTTATGTTTGTTGTATTATTATTATACATTTTTATATTGTATAATATAATATAATATTATTTTAGACTTATATTTATATAGAGTTTTAGGTATTTAGGTTTACTTCTGTTTATATTGTATTATTATATTATTATCACTAATTATTATTATTATTATTATATTATTATATAATATTAAGATGATTATTATTATTTTAAACTTATATTTATGTAAAAGTTTAGGTATTTTGGTTTACTTATGTTTATGTTGTATCATTGTATTATTATTATTTTTATTAATTCTTATTATTATTATTATTTTAGACTATTATATTTATGTAGATATTTAGCTATATAGGTTTACTTATGTTTATGCTGTAATATTGCAAAATGCTTCAACCAAGGTGGGAAACAGTTACAAACTATTTAAGCGGTAAAGGTAAGTTAAAAGTTAGGCAAAGAGTTGTGAGTATATTTACAGATGAACTGATCATAATTAGAATAAGACATCTTTTATAAAATAAGAAGTGTATTATCAATGCATAGGTGCATTATATCATGTATTATATCTATTTTGAGCGCATTAAGCTACTATCACTTTATCTATAGTGAGTGCCTTTAGTTTTAAAACACTTCTGAAATAAGGTATAATTGAGCATAGCAGCCGAAGTTTATTTCATCCAATGAACTTTAAATTTTTAACCGTCCATTATTTGCACACATTGTAAATTTGTTGACGTTAAACTGGTTTTATGCATGCTATGAAACTGTAGTAGCAGCTAGTTACTGGAAGTTACTGGCCTGCTTTTCTAAATTAAGTCCTCCTCTGTCATAATTCAATCGCTTTACCTTTCCGTTTCATAAGGCCAGGTCATATAGACACAGCCGTCCTGGCTGAATATGGTTAGCTGAGAGCAGCAGGTGGTTCACTTTATATGAAGAGGAAGTTGTAACATTGTAAATTTCCTTTTACAGTTTCAGGTGCCTGCATGAAGAGCAGCCACTCGGACCTTAAATGATGAGACCAAACAATAAAAGCCTAGGATGTGAGATTGCCAAACAATGATGCCTGCCACCTTTTTTTAATCATTTAAAATGTTAGTACTGGTATAACCGTGCAGCAGTTGCCTTTATTAAGATCTGGAGTGATCATGCATCTCCAGAACACAACATACACACCTATTGCAGCCAACTGCACGGTGGACACCAGCTACCGCTTCACCTTCTACAAGACCTCCTACAGCATGATCTTCATATTCGGTGTGGTCAGCAATTGCATAGCACTGAAGCGTTTTTGCCGCATGCCTCAAGCATTCACCAGCACGGCTGTCTACATGGCCAACCTAGCCGCCGCGGATATCTTCTTCGTCATCTCACTGCCCCTGCGCATCTACTATCACCACAACAAAGCCAGCATCTACAACCGCACCAGAGACTGGTCTCCAGGAGTGGCTTTCTGTCAACTGACCTTCACGCTGAAGTACATCAGCCTATATGGGGGAATCTTCTTCTTGGTTTGCATTGGAGTAGACCGCTACTTTGCCGTGGTTCACCCTCTAGTTCAGCATCTGAGAAAAGTCCACACCGCCCGTTTGCTCAGTGTTGGAATATGGTGCCTGGTTCTCGCCCTCAGTCTCGCTCTGCCCTTCTTGTATTCTGCAGCATCTCAACGGCACAAATCATGCCTGTTGGATCCTTCATCCAAACGCCACCGTGCTTTAATCCTAGCTGCTCTCGGTCTGGTGCTAATCGCCTATCTGCTGCCTGCGCTACTTTTGTTGTTCAGTTACTGCAGTGTACTCCGCGTGCTCCGCAGACTGCCACGCCGCAGGAAGATCCGGCACCGGCGCACACTCACAGTCATCTACTGGGTCCTGGTGGTCTTTTTCCTTTGCTTCACGCCGTACCACCTTAACCTGCTGGGTTATACACTAACACAAGTGGGCCTGGTGCAGAGCTGCGGACTTGCTAAAGTCACTAAAGTGCTCCATCCCATAGTGCTCTCACTGGCCAGCACCAATTGCTGCCTGAACCCTCTAATTTACTACTTCTCCAGCAGCCTAATGCACAAAGAGGCAACCGTCAGTAGAGGAAGTGCTAGTCAGTGAGTAAAAATTTGACACTAATTGAAGACTGAGCAATGAATTCCCCATTTAAATGAAGACTACTTTAATGGGATGCTGCAGTATTTAAAAATGATTTGTGTGTTTATCTTTGGCAAAAACAAAAGAGCTGCAATATACCAAATTACAATGATACCACCAATTCCTCACGGACAAGATCAAGTCTTGCCTTTAACCTTTTTTCTTGTTCAAGAGACCCTTTTAAGTGTCATTCACACTACCAGCAACACGCTTCAAAGCGAAAAGATCCAACACATTTTAATTAAATTTCCGACAAACTCCAACTATACTAATGACAGCGACTGGTGGTGAATAGATGTGGGCGTGTCCATTAAGAATCCGTTAAATTTATGCAAATGAAGCAACAGCCAATGTAAGCATTATTAGAGCTCAGGTGATCCTCTGTTAGCTTTTGCACAAGCCAGTTGAGTTCTCCATGCTGTAGATCTACATGGATCAAAATTTGCTGCAGATAAATGGTCGTAATGGCAGAGGACACATTTTATTTTCTTGTCAATCATTGTATTTAAGCATTTGATTTTCTGATTCCATTTATATTTAGAGTCTTCATACCATAATGTTTATTTTTAGATGTAAGATAGTCATTCTTCCATAAATGTTACCTTAACACCCTCAAGATGGAAACAGCCACTAGCAAGACAGAGTGAAAAGTACGATGACCGAGAGAGCTTAACTGTGATGGACGTGACGGACGATGCTGCGAAATGTTTATTGTGTTGTGACTATTTCTCAGTGAAGTTGTAGGCGATCTTTGAAAGGTGAGTTTTTTTTGTTTATTTTTGATTGATCATCCTGATTCCTACGTCTTCGTATTTTATTAGCCTAAAAAAAACAAAACCTAAATAGACGTGTCGGTCACATTTTAGGGTCTCCTTGAAACATTTCCGTTGTGTTCCATTCTATTTGCAAGTGTTGTGAGAAAGTAAAGCCATTTTCGTACCGGTAATTTGTTTGCGTAGTAAGAAAATGCAGCACATTTTATTAATCTACATGTGTGCTGTCAAACCGAAATGAAGATTGTTTCTTAATTTGCTGTTGTTTTTTGGAATTGCATGTGTTTTCTTAAATTGCAGCACGTTAAGCTCTCTCTGCCACCGTAGTAAAGAGTGTGACTTGGATATACAAGAAGACAACACTTTTGTAAGTAGGGTAGCTCTGATCACAATCCATGACTTCATCAACAGTGGCTAACTTTGACAGATCTCAGAAATAATTGCAAATTGATGATGTGAACAACTGAGGATTTAAGGAATACAACTGGAAAGACTGCAGCAAAGATGAAAAACTTTTTTTTAAATCTCCCACAAATTCAGGTTAACAAAAATACCCACTTCAAACATTTTTTTTGACTAAACTATTTTAAACAACAAATCAAATGTGAAGTGAATAAAAATATAAACATTTTTCAGATATGTTCAAATTCATATTTTTTGTGTGTTTTTGTCTGCAGATCACACACTGACTAGGGCTTTATAATAAGCAAAGTATCCCAAATGGACAGTGTTTTAAGTAAGCACTCTGATTAAAATATTCTTTGTAAATTGAGCATTTGATGTGCTTATTTAAAGGATTGTAAATAAAAATAGCAATTTACAACATTAGATAAACAATATAACAAATGCAACATATGTGGCTTTATTTGATCTAAAACATAATTATAACAGTGACAACTGGCATATAGTTAGTCAGGACTAGTCAAATGAACATTTTGTGATTGGAGCATCCTTTCTTCTATTTCATGGTGACTTTAAACCAGTGTTCCCCAACCCTGATCCTGGAGGCACTCCAACAGTTCATACTTTGGATCATTCCCTTATCTGTCCCATTAATTTGATGTTTTGTAATCTCTTCTAATGTTCTGATGAGTTGAATCAGGTGTGTTTAATTAGGAATAGGTTGAAAATGTACTGTTGGTGTGCCTTTAGGAACAGGGTTGGGAAACACTGCTTTAAACAACATAAAGGATCACTCTGCCATTTATGCAGGTGCTAAACCAAGCTTGATGCTTTGTGCTTGATTAAATGAAATCATTCATGCAAATAGCAGTAAACAGTTACTCACCGCTCTCCATGCAAGACTCTCCATGATCACATGTTCGCACTGCTCCAGGTGCTTCACCATGTCATGTTTCAGGGTGGGCTCGGCTTTAATGAAGCTCTCGATCACCTTGTAAAAGTCGAAAGCAGGCAGCTGGAAGACACTCAAAATCCAAGGAAAGCACAGATCGCTTTCAACGGAATCGCTGGCCCCTGAACTACGGCCAAAACCTCCATTCTTTAAGGAGCTCCCTGGAAAACGAAGCAAAGTTAATGTAAACAAGCTACTTCTGTCTCAAGTATACACTAGCGCTCAAAAGTCTGGGGTCAGAAAGATTATATATGTTTGTTAAAAATGTCTATTCTGCTCACTAAGGCTTCATTTATTTGATAAGTAAATTGAATTCACTCTAAAATTGAGTAATATGATTATAATTTAAAACAAGTTTTCTAATTGGATGCAGTTTAAAATAGTATTTAATCCAGCAATTCAAAGCTAATTTTTCAGCATCATTGTTTCAGTCTTAAGTGTCATAAGATGATTTGCTGTTCCATTCAGATCAATTATTGAATATTGGTTCTCTATCATTAATAATAATTCTCAGAATGATCAATGATGAAAACAGGGTTTGCATTTAATAGTTTTGTGAAAACGGCTATTCTTTTTGAATTATTTAAGATTCTTTTGCAGAAAACGATTAAAAATAACAGCATTTATTTGAAACAAAATCTTTTTAATAAATAAAAGTATTCATTTTATTGGTACCTTTGAAAGGTAATTTATCATTCATTCATTTATTTTATTTTCAGCTTAGTCCTTTTATTAATCTAGGGTCGCCACAGCAGAATGAATCCCCAACTTATCCAGCATATGTTCTTTGCAGCAAAACCCAATTCACCTATAGTGCATGTGTTTGGACTGTGGGGAAAACCGGAGCACCCGGAGGAAACCCACATGAACACGGGAGAACATGCAAAAAGATATGCCAACTGACACTCTGCCAGCTGAGACTCGAATCGGCGATCTTTTTGCTGTGAAGCGATTGTGCTACCCATTGTGCTACCCATTGCGCTACCGTGACTCCGGTACTACATCAGTGTCCACAAAAAGGATGCAGCCTAGGAGTTTTTAACAGTATTAATAAATAAATACTGTCACAAATTATCTACAAACTGTATAAAATGCTCATAGTACATCCATCTGTAAATATTACTTATAGTTTTTTCTATAATTGCAGTTACACCAATATAATGCACTTGCTGCTATTGCACTCCTGGTTAGACCTAAACTGCATTTTGTTGCCATGTATTTGTACATATGTAATGACAATAAAGTTCAATCTAATCTAAAAAAATGTTGTTGTTTTTAAGCAGCAGATCATTCATAATGACACTAAAGACTGAAGTAATGATGCTGAAAACTCAGCTTTAAATCACAGGAATAAATAACTTTTTAAAATACATTCAATAAGAAAGCAGTTATTTAAAATTTCACATTCTGACCATTTTTACTGCATTTATTTATATTTGTATTATTGACTTTTTGAGTAATTAAATGCAGTGTTGTTGAGCTTAAGTGTGTTCTTTTAAAAACCTTTTTAAAATCTTACTGATCCAAACGTTTGACTGAGAGTGTACAAAATGAAGTGTGCTACAAGTTTTTAAGGTTGTGGTATAAGCAGAAAAAAAGTATGTCAAAAATTACTTACCAACATAGGTTGCTATAACAACCTCCAGAGCGCATGCAAGCAATGATGTATGAAACGCTGCATTGTTGAGAAGTTTACTAAAAAGGAAGTAACATGATTAATTGTCGGTGTAAAATTTAATCACAAACCCCCAGATTTATGGCTGTAATGATCTGATAAATGACAGTTAATTATCTGAGAAGATGCTCGCATTGTTCTTACCTAAAGTTCTGCACTGATAACCTCTTCTCCTCCTAAAAACAGCACAAATTTTGTGAACACTAGAGAAAAAAAATTACATCAAACAATATAAATGAATATATGAATGCAAATAAATATTTACCGATTTAAGCATGGACTCCATTACTTTGTAGTAGAGCTGAGCACCAAGATAAAAACGCTGAAAACACACACACACACACACATAAAAGTTTATCCCTGAAGTACAGTTCAAATATTTTCAAATGTTTTTGAAACTACTTCTACAGAAAAAGACTGCATTTTACACATGATAAATACTGAGGAAAACGAAATATGTCAATTACAATAGAAATTACATTTCTAGCTTACTACACAGATTACAATGCAATTTATTCAGGTGATTAGATCTTTTCAGCATCATCACACCAGTCTTCAGTGTCACATGATCATTTAGAAATCATCCTGAAGTGCAGATTTGATGGTGTAGAAACATTTCTTATTATTAATGATAAAAAACAAAAGGTGATAAATGTTTTTTAACTATTCTTTGATGTGAAATCATTTCTTTAAATAGAAATAATGTGTAACATTATACATTTCTTTTTAGTCACTTCAGGCCAATCAAAATGCAACCTTACTGAAAAGAAGTATTAAAAATTCTGACCTCAAACTTTTAAACCAAAGTGTTCTTTGTTGGAAAAAAGGCACTTGACTAATCGATTACTGTTTTCTAGAATGTTATTAATTGACCCACAATCACTGAAATGTCATTAAAACCATAACTACAACACCAATCAATAAAACTAAATTGAGAGTTTATTACAGGAAAACTCTAAGTGATTAAAAAATATGTTCCCAAATCTATAGGGTTATGTAATACTGTGAGAGGGTATATATTTGAACAAGGAAAAAAAGATCTAATTTTCTCTGATTAAAACCTGACTGATTATCAGTAGCCTTATTGGAATGATGGCAATAAATGTAAGAAAGGCAAATGTTGGCAGTACCTTTCTGCCGAGCCCCTCACAGTGCTGACCAACAGCCTGAGCAAACCTCTGGATGAAGACCTCACCAAGCTCCTCAACCCTCTTTTTGATCTCCCCAGATGGGTCAACAGTGCAGTTCTGAAACACAGATTTACAAAACAGTTTATTAACACCTCAGTTTGGTTTTTTGTACTTCAAGTCTCATTATTCTGTCATGGAAATACCTTGTAATAGACCAGCAGATTGCTAGAAGGCTGGTCACTCCCTGAGGTGAGGTCACCCCTGAGCTGCTGTATGGAGGTCATCGCAGCCCTGGAGAAACACAAAACATCAAATGTGAGATCATTAGTTGGTAGAAAAAAGACTGGGATTTTTATTACAGTAAATCAATTAAAGGAACACTCCACTTTTTTTGGAAATAGGCTCATTTTACAACTCCCCTAAATTTAAACAGTTGAGTTTTACCATATTTTAAATCCATTCAGCAGATCTAAAAATCTATAGATCTATAAATCAATGAATCAGATTAGCTCATTAGCATCTCACTCAAATAAAAAAAAAAACGAACAGTTAACGCTGAACTCTTCTGTAGTTAAATCATGTACTATGACCAACGATAAATTAAAGTTGCCATTTTCTAGTTTTTTTTATGTATTTTTATTGTTTTTTAGCATAAGAAAATAAACAATAACATTAATAGAACAAGCAAAACAAAACAAAACCAAAACAAAAAAAGGTACAAAGGCCATTTCACAACACACAGACAGTCGGACACAACATAATACAATATTATTTAGAAAGCATAAGAGAAAAAAAAATAGAATTAAATATATAAAAAATAAATTATTTACAGAGAAATGTGCAGGCTCCAAAACTCATCTTATGCCAAACCAATCTCACCTATAATGAGTTGCTATTTTCTAGCTTGATAAATCTAGTAGGAACTATACTCTAATTCTGGCATAATAATAAAGGAACTTTGCTACTGTACCATGGCTGGAGCATTCACAATGATATTTGGCAGAACATGAAAATAGACCCAGCTAAGTAACAGCACTGCGTAATATCATTATGCCTGCTGCAGCTTTGGGACTGCAGCAAAGTTCCTTGGTTATCATGTCATAATGAGAGTATATTTCCTACTCATATCAACCTAAAAATATCAACTTTCCGTTTTCCTTCCTTTTCAGTCTTAGTACACAATGTAACTACAGAAAAGTCACGTTTAAATAGGAAACTTATTGAAACTTTTTTGAAAGTTGCTAATAGTCTAATTCAATTTAATGCTTTATGCTAAGCTAAGCTAAAAGTTCTTGCCAAATCTGGAGATTGGTTGAATCATGGATTTAAAAAAATGGTAGAGTTGTAAAAAGTGGAGTCCAAAAAAAGTGTTGTGGTCCTTTAAAAGGAGACTTTTAGCAAGGAGTGGACAACTCCAGACAAAAAAAAAAAAGTATTTTCCAGTCAAAAATTGAAGCTTTACTAGTAGAGTTCCTGGCATTAAAGAAAACCCCCCGAGCTTTAGCGGCCACGTGAAAACACCAAAACCAGAGGGAATCCCATCATGTGACATAAGCTTAAAGCATTACAAAACTGTGGAGTGAACATAATATTATTCACACAAATGATTGAGACTCTGCATAGGAGCAATTTCCCAAGCACTTTTCGTCAAGGAAGGTTTCAAAGGTTCCTATACAAATTATTTGTATATGAAACAAACAGCAGTGTTTGAATAAAATACTAATATTTGTTTGATTCTTTAAAAATCTCTTCAAAAAGTGTCATTCTACATAAACACAGCATTAATTTTAGAAAATGACAACTGACCAGAATAACAAATATTTTTAGGCATTATGATTGAAAATCAGGGTTATTCCAGTAAATATTGAATGCTTAACTCTTCGATCGTTAAATCGTTGCTCTTGTGTTGCTAAACATATACATATAATATATACTTACAATATACAGAAATTGAGAGTTTGTGTGTGAATTAGATGATTCTTTCATGCTCTAAATGTGAGAAATGGTACCTGATTGGAGTTTGAGGAACTGGAATTGCAATGTCCTCTGCAAACAGATTCTTTCTTGGAGTAACTTCTACCTTTGACCTAAAAGGAAATCTGACATTTATTTGAAATGCATATATAGTGGTCTGGATAAACATCTAACAACATGACATTAATTTAATCACACTCACACTTCGATTTTATTGGGAGAAAGAGTCTCATCGTCAGACAAGAAAAGCCTAGCATCAAAGTCCTTGCTTTTGTGATACAACTCTTCATATTGCTTGGAAAGCGCTTCCATCTGTAATAAAAGAAAACAGATGGCAAAGAGCATTACTTTAATTCAGAGTCAGACTGAGCAAGGAAATTGTATCATACGCCTTTCTCATAGCTGTTACTTTATTGCTAATAATCAGAGCTGAACCTGCAATAACAGGCCAAATTATCACCCTGCAAACAGAGAGTCAATAAAACAGTGTCCATAGTCCAACACATAACAGGCTATAAAATACAAAACAGGCAAATACCAATTCATAGTTCAAGGTGTAAGCCCCTGCTAAGATTGGTTACTCAAAAGGGCTACGTGTACAAATGTTATTCTTATTAATTTCAGCTATAATATTAACCTATATGTAAATGTTTAGATTATAAACAAACAATACAGTATATAATATATTAATGTCTTTAACTGGAAGAACTATGAGAGACACTAGCTTTGTGTACCAAACAAGCTGTTCCAATTGCAGTGGCATTGTAACTTTAATTTAATATCTTGTTTTTAGCACCTATTCCTTCAGAATCATTCTACATAAATCTGCAGATCAAAAATATATTAATAATCTGCACAGAAATAGCAAAAATAAAATAAATTGCATGCTACTGTTGTCTAATAACGATTTCAGAATTACACATGTTGGCCCTTTACATGCTCTAGCTTTTAAAAGCATAAGCAGCTTTTGTTAAGCATCTTTAATAGCATATTAACTCACTGGAGGAAGCCCTTGGAGACCTAAAAGACCCACAGAGTCCAGGAAGGCACAGAAAGTGCTCTGGTACACGTTTTTCACCTGCAAAAAAAATATAATCATGTGACCTCTGGTTAGAAGAAATAACAGCTTCACTATATAAAGTGTTTTAAGCAAAGTTTTTCATGCAGTGATAAATTAAAAATCATTATTTACAAAAAAAAACCTGCGAAATTAAAGTTTTTATTCAAAGCAAACTCAAGTTTAATCATCTATTTATAAAACATTTAATAATGTTTTTTTGTCCGTTTATTATAATGTGTCCTGTTTACATGGATTTTTTCAACAAATAACAATGACTATGATACAATTTTAATATTAATCATAGAAGACATCCACTAAAATGTCATAACGTGAAACTATGGAATAAAAAAAAAGTTTAGAATAAAGAATCATTTGGTGATATTATAAAGGAATATTTAAGGATCTCAGAACAGCCGCAAAATATCAATTCACTGTCATTTTAAATCTTTCTATTAATTTATAGTCATTTAAGATATTTACATGTAAAATGATCACTTATTCTTTTACATTTGTTTTACAAATAGCATTTCCTTTTAACATGTATACTATGACAACCATTTTTTGTCATTTAATATTTAAAACATTAAAACAATGCATTTAACATGATATATATGCATATACAAGATTTATTTGATATAAGCAAATAGATCCAGATTCAGCATAGGCATTTAAATTGCTTAACTGTAATTCTGAACTGTATATATCAAAACAGTTCAAACTAGGGATGTCAATTTCCACAAAATCCCAAGATCAATGATCATTTAAATTAAAAATCAATTATCAATTAATCGTTAATTACAATGCAATAGGTAAAGTTTTAAATGATTTGATATATTCAACTAACAAACCACCCACTTTTTTTTCTAAATACAGTTATTAATAGCTTAGTCCTTATAAACAACCCCTTTATAAAATACATAATTTACGAATGAAGATAAAACTTAATATGCAATATGATCCTTGCATAGCCTTGTGATTGCAGCGAAATAAGCCAAGTGCTCATTTTATTTATAACATCAAGAAATTTTAAGTAATGGAACGTTATAAGTAAAAAATCTAAACTATTATATGCAGTGGTTAGGCTAAATAAAGGCGCCTTGTCAGAGCTGAACATCACTGTGGTCACCGCACCCTCTAACACCTCACGCGTCTGTTTAAAGTTTCTGTGACAAACAGACTATATATATATATATGACAGACCACACAATCTTAATAACAACTTGACGCTTGCTCTCAACTTGGCTACATTATTTAAGGGCATTCGTTATGACATTTATCAGATATGTTGTTGTCAAACTTCTGTTTCATTTTTATTATTAAGATATTTTCTTTGAAATCTGTAATAGCACTATTGTCCCTCATTGCTGGTAAAATAACCAGCCTTTGTAATTATTAATGTATATTTTTCCTGCCAGTTTAATGCATGCAAACTAAATTGAGGCCAGTTTTACTTATTTAACACTCCCTCGCCTGAATTTGCTGCAAGTGAGATGGAGAAAATCAAAGGACATCAGCACTGAGGAAAAATCAGATGCTCAAATGTAATAAATATATAACAGAGGTTTGCGATTACAGTGGAGCATTAATTAAATCCATGTTCTCTACGGAGCCATATCAACCGACACAGTTGTGTAAGATGGGCATGACAAAAATATACTTCATTTGTTTTTCTTTTTAAAACTAATTTCATTTGTTATAATTTGCATCTGAATCTTAATATTTGTTTTGTTGGTCAGATATTTACAAAATAAACGAGAAGACTGAATAAAATTTGAGGTGAAGTGCTTCAAAACAAGGTTAGCATATGCTTTAGCACCAAAACACAAACTGGTTTGTTAAATAAAATAATAATATAATAAAAAATTTAAGTGAAAAATTCAGTTTCAGAGAAGCCTATATTTAACAGTTTTCACTGTTAATGACAAAATCATCCATGGCACCAGTCAGTTTCAATTTAATTTGTTTAAGTAATTTGAATGGGCAGGACAGGCTTACAAACTACTCTTAACACTGAATGTATTCCCAGATAACTTCGGAAAAAAACTCAGTCGGTAGGATGAAAGAAACTTGTTGTGAGATGATGCATATCTGGTGCGATTTTTTAAAATGAGAGATGCATATTTGTGTCAGTCTGTCAAAATAAAAGTGCTCAAAACATCTTAATATTGTAGCAGAAGTAGTTTAAGTTTGCTTAATTAATGATGACCTTATCTACCCCTGAACTATAATTAAACATCATGCGGCCTACTTTTTGATTATCTGACGCTCAGATTAACAGCAGCACCCGCAGATATAATCGAGATCCACCGGTAACAGGGTTTTATGCATCCCCCACTATGCAATGTCAAGAGAACGACCCCATAAGATAAAGTAAACTGCACACACTCTATTATTTAATGTGTAAAGTTGTGGACACGTGTCTCACAGCTCAAAGCATATCTTATCCTTTAATAGCCATGCTTAATTGGTCATCGATAAGGTCTAACGATTAAAAGGGTTACTGACAATCAATCGATCATTGAGTAATCATTAGCATCCACAATATACATTTTTGGTCAAATATTTTTAGCTTTAAAATACCAGTGAACCAATAATTTAATGGACGCAAGCTGTGTTTGTCATTTCTGATGGGATTGTGTCTGAATGAGTGCAAACCTCATCAACACTGCAGTCTCCCTCCTTGCACAGCGTCTCCAGCAGTTGCATGTCCATCTCTGCAGGACGGGGTTTGCTTTTGCCCTGATTACGGCGTGATGTCCTGGTCGGAGGACTCAGGGTAGAGGAACTAACCACCGACTCTGAAATTTAGAAATAAAGATGGTGCGTTTCTAAATCTGACAGAACAGGAAAGTTGTATGGTAAAATGTAAGAAATATGCTAAACTATTTCCTATTTAATGAAGATGAGGCAGTTTTAAGGGTGATGCCACAGGTGAACCTCTGTAGAAACCTTTGCAAATAGGACTTGGCGATGTGGCCTAATTTACTCGTTTACGATTAATGAACGATTTTTTTTTTTTGCCCTCATACATCACTGACAGGTTTTGTACAGTAAATCTGCTCACATATTACAAATAAGAGATTTCTGAATGAAGGGTGCATTACTTGATTTTAAAATAATTAAAGGAAACACAGACTATCCACTATCTCCCATTATTTATTGAACATCAACGTTAAACAACTTAAATTACGACACACATCGCCTAAAACAAACAGTTTTTTTTTTATAAAAAAATAAATAAGTAGGACTTTTGGAAACGACATAAATAACTATCTATGTTTTTCATTTTACAAGTAGAAAATAAGCAGGATTTGTTCTAAATAAAATAACTTGCATATTCTGCGAATAATATTTTAAACAGTGCATTTCTTGCATCTTCTGTAAACAAAAGTTTTAATTTAAATGATAATTCTGATGTAAAGTTTGCCGTCTCAAGGCATCTCTGACGCAGCTTCATCAATCGTCAATGTAGTGCAAAGTAACACAACAGAAACAAACAGAGCGAGATCACGTGAATCCACATGCGGTAAGATAAGTAATTGAATTGACCTGGAAAAATAGGATCGATGGTTCTGAGTGTCGATTTCAATTACTTTTCGATTAATCGCCCAGCCCTTTTTGCAAATCTTTTTCAACTTGAATTCATCAAACTTTCACATTTTTGTGCTAAAAATAGATGCTAAATTGCCTCACTCACATGTTCGAGCACAACCTGTTTTAAAAGCAAAACACAAAACGAATGTATGATGTCGTTAATCAACCTGTGAATACTTATGCCTAGTTCAGACTGCGTGATTTTAGCCCCGATTTTGGCTCGCCGACAGGTTTTGAGAAATCGCCGACAAATGCCTGAAATCACAGGCAAATCGCTGCTGGTGCACGCGAGTGATAATCACACAGTATGAACGATCAAAGACGCGATCTGAGAGAATCGCAGATGAGTCGCCGATGCCTGTGAGATATTTGGTGTGCTAAATATCTGGAGCTGTCGGCGATTCAAATCATGCCGTGTGAATTGACTTTTGACTGAAAATAACATCAGCCATCGCCTACAACCAATGAGAGAGTAGCTTTCACTTGTGTGTGCGTGTGTGTATAGGCTGGGGGAGAAGTTAAAAGCGCTCTTTTTCGGTTTATTTGGACCCACGAAATGGAGGAAAAACTAGTGGAGGTTTGACAGGACTCAGGAGCAACCGTGTCTGTTTGAGGTGTCATACAGAAAGAAATTAGTGTATTATCAACGTTGAGGAGAAATGGCCCCTTTAAACCCAGGTGAGCAAACATGTACATGTTCTACCCCATTAAAGGCTTCTTTCTCATTATGTAGTTAATAACAAAAGATATACTACGTGTTTTTGGCTGTGAGACCTAGTTTGGACGAAGTTGTCGGCGATTCTCCCTATAGTAAAGTCATGCAATGTGAATGTCTATGTCGCCGAACCATCTTGCAGTGTAAACAAAGCAGCGACGAAACGCTAGCCCAGATAGTCAAGCAGTGTGAAAACATCTGTGACACGACTACTTTTAAAATCATGCAGTCTGAACTCGGCATTAGAGAAATATGACTACCCTATTCCCTACTTATTTACCATAAAAAAATAAAACTATCCTGTTTTTTTACTTAATGCTGCAACAAACCAGCTGAAAAATAGAGAAGAATGATTATTTGAACAAGTTCAAAGTTTGTGAGGGGTAACTGTTGTTCTTTAGTGAGTCACCGAGAATGTTTTCTCTTATTAACTCAAATGGCATTTAAAAAATTTGCCTTGCCGCTTCCGAACTGAGAAATATGTGGAAAACTCACTGTAGGGCGACTGAAGGAGAGACGGACTCAAACGCTTGGCGAAAAACTCCAGAACGCACAGCAGCAACTGGAAGGAGATCACAAGGTCATCTTCCATCTGCAGAAATGTTCCTGTATAGGAAAGAAGACACAGAAAACAAGAAGTGACAACATGGACACACTATCCATTAAACATGTAACCCTGAGAGAAGATTAGGGCAAACTACAGTACACTCACAAAAGCAGAAACTGTAATCAAGGCCTATTATTTACATGAACCAACACAGCGGAATGTGACAAATATTTCCTGTGCTGTTTTTCCTTAATGACTCACCCTTGGCCAGGAGGAACATGGTCCAGCTGCTTTCCCACAGCTCTTTTCTCCTTAAGAGAAACACACAGTAGACCGTATGATCATTTCCGTTTAACAGATCTTATTTCAGCAACTACAGGTAGGCAAACAGCTCACATAAAAAAAAGATTTCTACTTACTTTGCATTGTCAGGCTCTGCAAAGATTTTCTCACAAGTCCTGAATGAAAATTAGAGATGGCATTTGTTAGTATTATTCTTGAAACCTTTAAAGACGAAGAACATCCAGACAAGAATGAACGCAAATTGAATTTACAGAAAACAACAACAACAACCAATAGTTACTATTGTAAATAATAGCTATTATGTTATTTCAAAAATCAGTTTAAGAAAACTAACAAACAATTTCTGAGTTGTTATCATGACACCTGAAAACATGTTAAAAAGGCATTTTAAATTGGCAAAAATATTGTTATTGTCAATATTCTCATTATAAAATATGTTACTCTAATATTAGTGTTTTGAAACAATTAAATGTATCTAACAATTACATTTATATAATTACACACACACACACACACACACACACACACACACACACACACACACACACACACACACACACACACACACACACACACACACACACACACACACACACACACACATATTTTTGAAGAGTTCAGATGCAAAAACCTCAAAATTCATCAGACCTCTTTTCTTGTAAATGAGCATTTTCTATCAAGCTCCTATTATTAGGTTTTATATGTAATGATAAGGTTATTAGCTAATAATTAAAAAAGCTTTTTTTAAATTGTCAGTACACAATTCTTTGGTTTTTAACAAGGTAGATTTTTTTGGCGTCAAAACCAGCTTAATTCACTTGTTCTTTTTTTGTTCTTTTTTAAAAAAAAAAAGCTTTAAATCCACCTATTGGGACAAGACAGTGTAATTAGTTGAAAATCACTAAAGATGCCATAAGAAATTATTTTACCAAACATATAACACATTACACAAACCACCTAAAATTAAAAACATATAAATATGTATATATAAAAATATATAAATCTATTAAAAGTAAGTGGTGGTTCATTCAGCTGTGATAAACCAGGGGAAAAGCAGAAGGAAATGAATAAATGAAGTCTGTCAAGTAAGTCCATTAATTAATAGCAATAAAACTGACATTAATTAAACCTTAACAATCTGTTGTCATTTCTGATATTCAGGATTTAGATCTAATGTAAGTAGAGCAATGTAAACAATGCAACCATTGCAAACTAAGCTTGTTCAATTCAAATAATGTAGTGTAAACATAGTGAAACATCAATATCTGTGCACTGTCCATTAATATAAAAGCTTACCAGATGTATAGGTAATATGAAGTAGGCTAATATAAATGAATAGTTTTATACATTATATTTATCTTTTAAAAAATAGCTAACATTAGCAAATAAAACACAAGGTAGGTCTACGGGCAAAAAGGAGATGCCTCTCAGACAATTTTAGAAGCTGTCATTTATTCATTCTCAACATACTTAAGGTCTTGGTCTCTTGTTTACCCTCAAAGCATCCATGCGGGATACAAGAACGGCATTTTAACTCTGTCTTTCCTGAAACGAAGTTGACATTTATTGTACAGTAAATCGGACTCATTCAAAGTAGCGTTGCTGTGCCAAAACACGTTATGAATGCATGTTACACTCCCAACTGTACATTGTGTTTTCTTTTTCTTATAATGCAGAGTTTTGAGGTAAGGGACGTTTTCATTTGCCATTCACTGACTGTCGGACAGGCTCATCCAGTTCATCAAACTCTGTCTTTTAACATCGAAATCGAAGGCGGAATAAAACAGTCCCCTAATCCAGCCGGCATATCAGCGCGCTGCTACATTGAAAACATGATTCGATTCACACCTTCTAATTGGTTCTAGGGATATAGCGGCCTTTGCTGTCAAAGGCAAAGTGGCAATTAGCGGCTTTTGCCAACAAACTGTAATTTCTGAATGTGCCGAGGCTGGGATTTAGATGATTTGAAGCAAAGGTATTTGTTGGTGTTGTACTACGTGCCCCTAAAGCATTCACTTAATGTCAGCGGAAGTGGCGTTTAGCAGTTGTGGCATCTGAACTCTTTATATATATATATAAAATACACCTTAAAATTTCAGTAGAATTATTTGTATTCAGTTCAGTTAGGATCCAATTGGATTTCCATTGTAAATAATAAATACAAGTTAAAAAGTTTATTTCATATTTTCAGTTTTTAGATATGACATTTACAGTAATCATTCCATTTAAATCTGCAGATTTTTCTACAAAGTTCTGTGCAGAAATTTCAAAAAATTTTCACAGATTCTGTCTGATCTTCATTTGGGAGGCTGTTGGCACGCAGCATTCGAATCACAAAACAAAGCACCTCCCTGTGGCTCGACCACATATTTACATCAGGCTACATATGCAGACCCATTGCTTATCTTATATGAAGCACTGTTTTACAATAACTGCTGACTGAACTGAGGCCGGCTGGATCTGAACCAAAATCAACTCACCGTGAAAATCTGTGCTATATCAAGATGACTGCTGCCACCTTCAGGTTTACAAACTCACACATTTCAACACTCCAAAGATTTGTACAATTCAAACAGAAGGAGAAATGAATCATCAAACAATAATGTAGATCATGCAACATAAAAGCTTTGAGCAATTACCAAGTATAAAAAGTTTTTAAAGGAGTAATACAGACAGTTTGTAATCTCAGGAGTGAAGTTATTCACACATACTTAAAAGGAGATGCAATACAAGCCCTCTCGAAATAAAGTGATGATCACACCCTGAGACATGCCCAAACATCACCCCATTGCTGACTCTTCTCTTCTTCAATCTAATGAGCCTACTTACATTGCAATGTGTACAAATTCATTGTATAGTTTCAGAACATTGAACTCGTCCTCACTAGGCATGGGCATAAGTTTCTGGCGGTATGATAAGCGTGGATAAAAATATTACGACATCACAGTATTGTAATTACTGCTCTAAAATAAGTTCTTTGTAAATGTCTGAGTAAAAAACAACTTGAACACAATATATTTTATTTTAGGAAAGGTTGGGTATCTTTGCTAAATAATTCAAATAAATCATTGACCTCTGCTGTCAGGGATAGGCAAAAATACATTGAAATGTATTTTAAAGTAAAAATCCAAATACCTGATTTTTAAGTGTATCAAAAAATAAACAACAAAATACAGCAGCCACAAATGTATCAAAATAAAATGCTGTACTTTTGTATTTTGAAATTACTACAAAATAATTTTACAAGGGAGCATGAGTTTTTATTAACATTTTATTAATAGGCATATACTATCAATCCCTTCAGCATAAAACTGATTTAGAGAAGTTTACAGAAGTAAACAGATTTAGAGAAGCAAACAAGGATTGAGCACAACAGCTTTATCTGAGCAAGTTTGAGTCAGGTTCTCTGCCACGTCATTCACATGTACTGTACACGAGGAGGTATTTATAGAAAAAGTAACTTATATAGTTTTATTCATAAAACTTACATTTTTTATGAATGAAAAAAAATGCAAGCTTTATTCATAAAACTTGTTTTTCTCTTTGATTTTAGTATAGATTTTGTACAAGTTTATCTCTTTAATCACTGTAAAAACCATCTAATGCAGATGAGTTAAAACACAATATCTCTTGATTGTGGACATTGCCACCATCTGTTAAAGGTCATATTTTTCAACATTTTTGCAATTGAAATCTTCAAAACTCAATGTAAAATCCCGATTTCTGAAAACGACTAAAATCTCCAGTTCTAGTAATTTCCATATATCATGTTTTTTTTTTGCAATTGTAATCTTCAAATTAATTTATAATTAATTGATTGGCTTGCGCTTACACTAGTGCACTGGCAGGTAGATGCGCGATTTCTGGGAGATTATCACTCATTTGCGGGGATCCGGGAGTCTCCCGCAAATGCATAGAGACTCCCAGCTGCCCGAAAACGAGTGATAATCTCCCAGAAATCGCGCGTTTCCCTCCCGGTCCTCAAATAAGTCGTGCACCTTTCTCACCCTTCACCACCGGATCCCTCCTCTCTCTTCAGACACATCACGTGCACTCTTCCCCGCGCTTTTTATATGACGACGATGCCAACTTCCGGGAGACTTGGAATGTCTGAATATCACGTTAACAACTATAGTGAGACGCAATCCAGCGGTACATCCTTGATAAACTATCCGTAGTGCACTGCTCACTGGAGCTCAGACGAGCACATGACAGTGTGTGTGTGGTCACGTGATGTGCGTTTTCAGCGGATAGAGGGCAGAAATGCTAGGTAAAACACATTGTGGATGTGGATGTTGGGGCTGTGTCGATGTGATCTGGATATGTTGTGGTTCTGTGACTGCGGATGTTGGTTGCTGTACAGTTAAAAATAATGACAATGGGTAAAAATGATGACAATTAAAGTAACTAGGTTAATTCCAATTTAAATAAATTAAAATGAACTAAAATGTTATTCTTATATGTTGGGCGGGTTTTGGACTGCTTTTGGGCTGGAAAAAGTCATCTATAGCTAGCAACACTGAGCATAATCTCTCTCTGCTTGGTAAGCTCTAGACACTTAAATAAATAACAAAAATATGAGATGCAGGAACTAATTTAATGAACTGTCATGTTGCTTAATCTACAAAATTTCAAAATATTTTATCACTGTCATATTGATATCAATATTGTATCATTAGCTTTGCATCACAACCTCAAATTCAAAACAAAAGCGTGTAACACTTACTTTACAAATCTTTGGTAGAGGGCCAAAGTCACATCGTATTTGTTCTCTAGGCGGGTCACAGCAGAGTTCACTTTAGGACTTATTGTGTCTACATTTACATCCATCTTCCTCACAAGACTGATGAACTGCTTCACACTGCAAAGTAACGGCAACTTAGTGTGTATTAAAACCATCGCTAACACTTGAATACATTACACCACTCCTGAGAGGCAAAAATCAGGACTTAATTTCAATATCTGCCACACATACCTCAGACCAACTGCTTTCAGGAACTGCGTAAAAGTGAGGTTGATGCCTTCAAGCTCCATGCCAGCAATAAAAAGACAAGCTCCCCACTGCTGTCTGTTCGAATACGGCATCTAACATGGAAGACATGCAAGATAGTGTAATTACACATTTATAACCCAAAACACAAGTGCGGTAAAGCAGATATCAGAAGAAAGAGTACATTTGTCTTGTCCATCGATCTGATCTCCCTCTCCCATATTCTCCATGCATGATCACAGATGGAGTTAGTGGACTGGAGCTCCTCGCTGAGAAACACAAACTCAGGATCCTTGTCCTTGTGTCTGGAAAAACAACAGTTGACAGACATGGTTGACATTGCTTATACACATAAATAACTATTGTCAGCTTTTTTGCTATTAGGAGTTGCTCTTTAGTGTTTAGCAGTGGCATTTGCATTACATTACACTGAACTGAACTGAAATTTAACTCTGACAACTGAACTGATGCAGTTTTAATTTACTAGACATTCATATATATCGCAGCACTGTCCAGTTTAGTTCCAGCCCTGCTTCAACACACCTATTTGTAGGTATCAAACAAAACTAAAGCACTCAATTAGTAAGATCAGGTGTGTTTAATTAGGGTTGGAACTAAACTGTGCAGAGCTGCGGCCCTCCAGGAACAGAGTTTGACACCTGTGATCTATATTTAGCTGCTTTGACACAGTCTACATTGTAAAAAGTGCTATAGAAATAAAGATGAATTGAATTTAGACACTACTACATGATCCTTCATACTAAACAACAACAAAAACGTAGTATTTAAAGCTGTAAATGGTCAGTCGTTTAGTTACTGCATATGTAAAATTAAAACCTAATTTTTCCTGACGTACTTGTTTGTATATCAGCCATGCTGGGATATTGAGTCTCATGAATCTAAATTAAAATGCTTCCATACACCTTCCATATGCAGGTCATGTAGATGTTTTGTATTGCTTGCGTTTGTTCATTTGTGATGCATCTGAGCTGTTGCTTAATAATCAGGCGCTTAACATACACCTAGAAAAGATGTTTATCATTTGTAATACGAGCAATTTCAAGAAAATGTCAACCTTACCATTTAAAAATAACATTTTCACCAAAATAGCGAAACCCTTTCCAAGTTTTTTTGTGTAGGCTTGTATTTCAGTAGTATAAAAATGTCTGTCAATGCTTTCAAATAATTATATTTGATTTAGCAGTCACACAAGTTCAAATTTATATGGAGACCTGGAAGGGACGTGATGGTGGGGAAAATGGGTGAAAAAAAAACTGGGTGAGAAGCAAAAAAAAAGGAAAATATGATAGGATAGGAAAATACACATTTTTAAGGTTCTGTGTTCCCTCTCAAAACGTTTGTTCTATAAACACTTCCTGTTCACTTCATACATGTCAACCCCCCATTTTTGCCGGAATTCTCCTGTATTTTAACATTCTTTGCCGCTATCATCCTATCGTTACGTATTTTTTCATATTTCTCCCATATTTTTAATCTTGAAAGCACGCAGAAACTGATATAAGAATGTCTGCATTCACTTTCTTTTTTACAGAAACTGATCTGGGATCAGTTTGTCATACAGAGCGTGCCGCATTCCCTGATTCAGAGGTTGCATATGAAGGCCAATGATTGATGCACAGCTTTAATGGAAAGAAGGTGAAGGCGGACCGTTTTATATTAATTTCAACATGCTTTCAAGATTAAAAATATGGCAGAAATATAAAAAAATACTTAATGATAGGATGATAGTGGGACAGAAGAGTAAAATATGGGAGAATTCCGGCAAAAATGGGAGGGTTGACATGTATGAAGCGAACAGTAAGTGTTGTGGAAAAGTTTAGCAAGTGAACGCAAAACATCTTTGTGAGAGAACGTAAAAAACTTAAATAAATATATTTTCCTTTCACTGCTTTTTTATTTCTCCTACCTATTTTTTCCCCACCACCACGTCCCTTCTGGGTCTTCGTAAATTTTACATCTGGCATATCCATAAATGAGAGATGTCACATCTATAATCAAGGTTTTTCCTTATAAATGCAAAAATCTAAAATAAATAATTGTTATTCTATAGAGAGCAAACTCTTGTTTTTTTGATTAGCATCATTTCTTTTGGTTGTGCAGTTTAATTCACAGAATTTCTACAAAGTGTGTTGTATGCTTTAAACTAAGACTTTTTTGGTCACATCCATAATGCATGTTTATTTTCATCATTTTAAAACTAAAAAAAATATGTACAAATTGATATTTTTCTGATCCCATAACTCTGTGGTTAGTAGTTTTGGAAAATATAAACAGATGTTTCAGCATGATGTTAGCATATACTATGTTTTAAGGTTTTACTGCAAATGTCACATCCGTAACACTGGAATTGTTCATGTATATTCAAATGCAGAAGTGCTCAGACAAAGTGCTCTTTAAAATTTTTTAAAGTGATTATAAGAAGTTATATAAAAAAGTCAATTGGTTTATCTTTCTCAAATGGCTAAAACCTTTCAAACATATAAAATTCAGAGTTAAAATAACAAAACAAGGCATTAATTATTAATTATTTAACATATTTAGTCTACTTAATCCTGAAACTAAAGTCTTCTAACATGTCACCAAATGATTCTCTTTTTAAAATATTACCTGAATAGATTTTTTTGTTTTTAACCTACTGTTATAACGTATCTCAATGACATTTTAGTGAAAATGTTAAATTGTACAAGTTTAAAAACAGAAGTGTAAGTTAAGTCACACCAAATTATTTCTGAAGTACCCATAGTTTAACTGTGTCATTTAAAAACAACACACTATTTAAAGTACTAAAAACAGGCGCCAATATTCTTATAGACTCTGTCATTTATAACACTGTTACTACGGTAAAAACACGGTACGCTGTCATAACAGAAGGACTAGTTTGTCTAAAGGGGATTGACTCGAGCTTTATTCATTCATAAATTGTCGTCAAATTTCGTCAGGTCGCTCTCTTCCTTCCCCACCACCCTCTACACATTTCATTGTTGTTGTTTTTCTACTCGGCTCACCGTTCCGGACTAAGCACTGCGTTGTCGCCGCTGTCCGGAGATCGGCTCTTCAGGCTCCCCTTCAGCTCTTTCTTCTGTGGGGTCCCGCTGCTGCGCTTCTTCGGCGGCATGTCGAGGGTCTCTTGGAGAAGAGCGCGTTCACTCTCAGCACAGCGAGCGATCACGAGTTGTGTTGTGATGTTTGTGTTGTTGTGGTTAGTGGTTGGTAGTCGGTGTCTGAGATCGCTTGTTTGCGTCCGCAACTCTCCGCTATTTCCTCAACTAGTCAAAACGCGGGAAAATCGACCGACGCAACATCCGTCACTTTGGCGTGCGTCATGTCCGGCTATACATTAGTCAACGCTCAACACAACAGTGAGTGAAATGAAAAGGCTTTGACAAACAAATCAACATTTTAGCGCAGTGCTACTGTAAACACGAATTTTTAAGCTCTCTCGTTGCTAATTGGCGAACAGAATATTTCTACTTTTAAAATGTGATCATTAACTTAAATGTCGTGTATTTTTAACCAACGTTTACATTTTGGGATTCCTGTAACCGTCAGCCTACTGAATGAATGTAACGTTACTTGCAAATTATCATCTTGTTCAAAAGCGATTATCAGTATCAGAAGTTATCAGTAACTCAAGATGCTCCTCACATGTGACTGAATAATTACGTATTGATTACCTAATACTTTTTTCACTCATCTTTAAATGACCACAAGAACATATACTTTACTGACACTTCAAAAACACAACTTAAAAAACAGAGTTGTGTTAATAATGTTTACATGTTCACAATAAGATTAGTTACTTAACGGATAACATCTATCTATCTATCTATCTATCTATCTATCTATCTATCTATATCTATATGTCTTTCTGTCTGTCTATCTATCTATCTGTATATATGTTAATCTATCTGTGTATCTATCTATCTGCCTGTCTGTCTATTTATCTGTATATATGTCCGTCCATCCATCCATCCATCCATCCATCCATCCATCCATCCATCCATCCATCCATCTATCTATCTATCTATCTATCTATCTATCTATCTATCTATCTATCTATCTATCTATATCTGTGTTTCTATCTATCTGTATGTATATCTATCTGTATATCTATCTGTATATCTATCTGTATATCTATCTGTCTATCTATCTATCTATCTATCTATCTATCTATCTATCTATCTATCTATCTATCTATCTATCTATCTATCTATCTATCTATCTATCTGCCTGTCTGTCTATATATCTGTATATATGTCCATCCATCCATCCATCCATCCATCCATCCATCCATCCATCCATCCATCCATCCATCCATCCATCCATCTATCTATATAAGTCTTATTTGTTTTATTTCGGCAAGAATAAAAGCAGTTTTTAATTTTTTTTAAAGCCATTTTTGGGACAAAATTATTAGCCTCTTAAAGTTTTTTTTTTTTCGATAGTGTACAGAACAAACCATTGTTATACAATAACTTGCCTAATTACCCTAACCTGCCTAGTTAACCTAGTTAAGCCTTTAAATGTCACTTTAAGCTGTATAGAAGTGTCTTGAAAAATATCAAGTAAAATATTATTTACTGTCATCATGGCAAAAATCAGTTATTAGAAATAGGTTTTTAAAACTATTATGCTTAGAAATGTGCTGAAACAATCTTTCCTCCATTAAACAGAAATTGGGGAAAAAATAAACGGGCGCTAATAATTCTGACTTCAACTGTATGTATGTATGTATATGAATATATATATATATATATATATATATATATATATATATATATATATATATATATATATATATATATATATGTCTGTCTGTACATATGTCCATTTGTCTATTCATCCATCCATCCATCCATCGTCTGTCTGTCTTTCTGTGTCTGTCTGTCTATCTATCTATCTATCTATCTATCTATCTATCTATCTATCTATCTATCTATCTATCTATCTATCTATCTATCTATCTATCTATATATATGTCTATCTATCCATCCATCCATCCGTCCGTCCGTCCGTCCATCCATCCATCCGTCTATCTATCTGTCTATCTATCTATCCATCCGTCTATCTATCTGTCTATCTATCTGTCTATCTATCTGTCTATCTATCTATCTATCTATCTATCTATCTATCTATCTATCTATCTATCTATCTATCTATCTGTGTCTGTTTGTCTGTCTATCTATATATATATGTCTATCTATCCATCCATCCGTCCGTCCATCCATCCATCCATCCATCCATCCATCCATCCATCCATCCATCCATCCATCCATCCATCCATCTATCTATCTATCTATCTATCTATCTATCTATCTATCTATCTAAAAATCAGGCAAGTCAAAGAGGCTTTCTTTATGGAAATATTATATTCTCTGTTACACTATTACAGTTGTATTGAAATGTAAATGATTCTCTGTATATAAATGTAAGACCTGTAAGAAGTCACATACGTTTGAAATAAAATAAAAAACATAAAATAGGCAACATACCATGTTTTTGTTTCTTTTTTGTTTATTCCTTCTCTTTTTTTGTCAAATTAAATATTGATGGAATATTGGTCTTATTTTTTCCTTATGGAAAAATGTTTGACTCCCTGTTTGTCCAAATGGCACTGACACCATGCCAATAAACATCCCCAGCTTGAACAAACCATACCTTTCTACAAGATATAAAGACATATATCCAGCCTAGTGTTTTATTCCATTTGGGAACTGTTCTTTTGTTTCTCCATAGGTTTATTTATGACAGCAGTTCACCCCATGAATTGTGCGTTATGTAAGAACGACTTGAAAATATGTCACCATTTAAAGATAAAACCCTAGGTGCAATAATAAACAGGAGCAAAGGCACTAATGTGCTTTGTCTGGAGTGAGAGATGTAATAAATAAAACTGCCTATATCAAAACCCTGCTCCACAGTCAGCAAAAAAACATAATTTATACCCTAGATATTAAACGCAGGGAGTTACAGATCATATGTACGACTCCTATGCAATAATACAGAAAAGAAAAATATGCTCTGAATATCATGGCAAATAAATTCTAATAGTAGTCGGATAATATTTGGCACAAACACCCCCAGATTTCATCCCTTTTTTCCTCATACAGAAAGGATATTGTGCCAATAAGTGTGTTATTAACCAAACCATGGCATGTGGACACAACCGTTATTTTTGATCAAATGGCAAATATACTTACGGTGCTTGTAACAACATCCTAAAACAAAAACGGAAACCCTTTGTCCGCCATTATCCCCTAAAACTCCAGAAAATGACTTAATAATGACTTACAACTTTGGGTTGAGAGGTTACTTCAGGCTTACGGAAGCAATGTTGTAAAAATACAGCATTTGATAGGGAGTATAAGAGTGAGAAGAAAAATAATAAAAGTGGAGAGAGAGAGAGAGAACTGCCTGTAGGATTTTCCAGGGAGAGCATATAACCAATGAGAGAGAGAGAGACACCTCTCCAAATCTTACAGTCCATTATGGGCCGGGACGTGTTTTAAAGCGCCCGCTCACAGAAGCATGGTAAACGGTTTCTCTAGGAACTTGCGAAACTCTGCCAGCCATTGAGCGCCAACAGCACCATCAACCACCCGGTGATCGCAGCTCAGAGTCACAGACATCATGTTAGCCACGTCAAACCTATCAGAGACACAGAAAACACATGCAGTAGAAGACTTATTTTTCTGCTTTTCAGACGTTATTAGTGATGGCAGTTGATTGTCAGTTTATTTGGTTTGCTCACCCTTTTTCATTGTCCGCAGGCAGCAGTCTCTTTTCTGAGCCACCCACAGCCAGAATGCAGGCTTGAGGAGGATTAATGATAGCTGAAAAATGCTTGATGCCATACATGCCCAGATTGGAAATAGTGAAGGTTCCACCCTAGAAAACATATATTTCATACATATATATTTAATATAAGTATATATGTTCTATTATTATTCTTTAAATAGCCATTATATTAGAGTTTAGGGTCAGTATGTTTTATGTATTTTACCTGGAATTCATGAGGTTGTAGTTTCCCATCTCGTGCTTTAGCAGCTAACGCGGAGACGTCTTTGCTGATATTTGCAAGGCCCTTAATATGAGCATTAAATACAATGGGAGTGATGAGACCCACAGGCGTGCTGACCGCCACACTAACATCCACCACGTGATTTCTGTGAGGAGAGGAAAAAAACATTATTTACAGGTCCTAAACCGATAGTTCTTTACGTTTACAAACTTTTATGAGTTTCTTTCTTCTGTCAAACACAAAAGAAGATATTTTGAAGAATGTTGGAAACCTGTAACTTTGACTTTTTTGTTTTCCCTATTATGGAAGTCAACGGTTACAGGTTTTCAGTTATCTTCAAAATATCTTCTTTTTAACTGCTTTTATTAATTAAGCATGACTAATAAATCACAAAAAACTACAGAATGACCTCACAGAAGAAATGATTTCACACACTTGACTGAAGTTATGAAGCGAGTAAAAACATGTTATTAAATGTGGTATTTAAGTGCAGTTCATTGAGCATCTACCCACACAGCTGCCATTATAACAGAATGATTATTACGATTTCATAATCGATTAAATTGATTTAAATTTTAAACATTACTTCGCATGGCTTATCAGTGAACTCTGCGTAGTAAACACTGTTGCAAGAGGTTCTCTATAATCAACTTTACTGACAAAATGTGTGAAAATCCCCTTTGATTAATTGCCCAGCCCTACTATTGACAACACTAAAACAAGAGGCCCTATCATACACCCGGCGCAATGAGGCGCAAGGCATGACACAAATGTTGTTTGCTAGTTTCAGTTAAATCATAACAATTTGCTTTTGTATAATTTTAATATTATTAGCAGTATTATTTATTACGTGCATATTTATATTTGTTTCATTAAAAACAAGCTTAGATTTGTCCACCTGTCAGGTTTTAGACCATATGGGGCACAGCATGTGTATTTGGATATAACACACTTCGTTATTACTGTTAATTTATTAATTTGCTGTAAACTAGAACTGAATTTAGAAATAGTTTTGAAACTATTGAAAGATTTTTGAATGTATTAGATCATCTTCAAATCAAATTACAGAAAACTAATTACCGCTTATGCGAGGTGTTTCTAATACAGCCCCCTATTGGGGCGGGAAGGTAAATTTGACTGGCTGCCGTAATCAGTCTCACACTATTTTTTTCAGTTTTCTGAAAGTCTTAATAACACCATCGTTGAGTTTTTCTCATTTTATTTCAGTAAATTGGGTTGTAAAAAAATATTTGTTGTTCTCTCCCATTCACTGCGCTCTAAGTTTACCCAATCACGATGACTTCTGCTACTGAGGCCCAGTTTACACAAATGCGTTTTAGTTTTAAAACGGCGTTTTAAAAATGAAAACGATCCGTGTCCACACTAGCGTTTTACCCTGCATTTCTGAACAGCTCTCCGTCCACACCAAAACGCTGAAAACGCACATCCCGTGACGACACACACACTCTCGGGCAAGCGCTCCAGCCTATCTACCCAGATGACTGCTCATCAAGCATCTCCCGCTGGATCTAATCTTACTATATTTATTAAACGTTATATTTCATTCGTCTTGTTGTCTATATCTAATGACATATTCCCCGACTTTGGTCATTGGAATCTATTAATTATTCTCAGGTAACGTGTTTTGGCAAAGCGCAAAGATAGGTTAATTAATGTAACTACGTAGCCTAAATTCTGTATTGACTGATTGCTTGCCTTTATTTCCTATAATGTAGAAACTTATTGTATGTTATACTTTTATAATGGCCATTATCGATTATTAAAACTGATATTCAGCAATAGAGAGGGTATGTTCAGTATTTTCACTGAAATTGAAAGGAGGCAGTAATGTTATAGGCACCGTTTTGTAATAAATATCCACACAGTGAAGATGACGCTCATAAATGCAGCACAATGCCTCAACATTTCTGCTGTCTGTTAAGTTTCTCATATCATGTTTTCATTTTATTGTTGAGAAAGTGAAACAACGTAGCCAGGGTGATGTGAATGAAGTTATAAAGTACACTGTAGATCCCTTTGAAGATTTACCCGTGTCCTCTGTAGTCTGTTTTCCATATCAAACTGAGGAGGGGAAGACTGCAGCCTTGATCAAACTTGCGAAGTCTGAATTGAAGGATGCAGGACTGAATTGTGTGTAACGTTAGGCTACTTAATATTGAGGAAAAGCCCCAATCAAAGTGGCGAATGTCGGCAGCCCCGCCTCCATTTTCAGATGTCTCAGCATCGTTTTAGAATGAAAACGGCCTCTTCAGCGTTTCCAAGATGCTCCGTTTTCGGCACTCGAAAACTCCGGCGTAGTGTGGACGGATTGCGTAACCGTAGCAAATCTTATGCGTTTTCAAACTAAAACGCATTAGTGTAAACGGGGCCTGAGTAACCTGGAAATGTAAAAGGGGTCTATAGTCACATCGCAAAAATATGCAATGTTGAGTCCGGATTATAATTGATCATTTTGCAATTGTTTTTTGAGGCCTGTAACTGTGTGAAAATTTTAAAAGCATTCAGGCCTAAGAAACTGTACGGTTATAACTTTAATAATGATTAATGTTATCAAACTGTTTATACAAAGAAGACAAGACAGTATTGTTTCACATTTGATTATTCAGTTACCGTTTACCTGAATAATGTTAAGACTCCATAGAAAACAATAAAACACAGTTTATTTTAATTTCAGATTATATACAGGAACCAGAGAGTGAAATTCAATACCTTTTAAGACCTTTTTAAAGACTTTTTCCATACATTTTAAGACCCTATAACCACTATAGGTTTTAACCGAAACACTTTGTCGATTACATTTTTTGCAGACGCACTCTCTTACAGAATCATCCCAATCTAAAATGATAATTTCTTTTCAAATAGAGATATTTAAGTCATCTGGTGAAATTGTATTCATATCGCAATATATAATACCACATGCATCCCCATTTGAAACACATCTGATTCAATTACTTTTTTACATTGCCAATGCTCATGTGGTCAAATCTAGGGATGTCCCTATCAGTTTTTTTTTGCCCTCGAGCCCAAGTCATTTGATTTTGATTATCTACCGATACCAAAACCTGATCTGATAGTTTTATAATACATAAAAAAGAATAAAGAAGAGCAAAGAAACAGATGCAGGATGCAGTCAATCCATTGTGTGGTAAGGCTTAGCAGAGACATGAGAGCTCTGGACGAACTCCATGTGTCTGTGGTGAATGAAACATGGGGTACATCTTCTAAGAGAACAAGTAGTTTGTCAGAAATCTTCTTATAAAGGGCTGGCAGAGCTTTCTCTGTTTACTCAGGCATTTGAAATCGAGGTTCTACATTTATTTTTGAGGTGTCTTATCAAGTTCATTGTGTTAAATGTAGCCCTTTCCTTTCCACCTCTTGTAATGCCAAGATTACATATCCCATAATGTTGGGAATGGCAATGTTGTCATCATCAACTTTATAATACCTCCAGACCACAGACATACTCGCGCTTTCTGCTTCAAGCTGCTTCCGTGTTCTGCTTTGCCAGCATTTAACCAATAGTGTCGCTGCAACAAAGTGCTGTCATGCTGCATATGTTGCTATTTCTGTGTGAAGTCAAGAAAAACTTCTAACTCTGTGCATAACTATAGATGTGTTAACAAGTAATGAGAAAAATAATCATATATATTCCAGTCCTGATAGGGAGGTAATCTCTGATTTTGAACGAGTCTGAAACCGTGTGATTGGGGCGATATTTTGATCATGTGATCGGATCTGGACATCTCTAGTCAAATCTAATCAAACAGCCACAAAAGACCACCAAAATGTGAAACAACAAACCAAAAACCAGACATTTATATTCCTTTGTGTTGTAATGAATAGGAGTGCACTCACTGTCTTATGACTGTGTCCATCCAAGAGGAATTGGCCTCCGGCACCTTTAAACAGGCTAGAGCCGAGGCCTTGATGATAAAGTCATTGACCGAGAGTTTGATGTTTTCAGCTTTCACCTCCTGATCATAGGGAGAAGGTACAGTTTCAGTTGAGGAAAACTGCAATAATGAGCTCACTACCGCATCATGATCATGCAAACTGCGTTGACTCACAGCATTGAGCTCTTTCCTGAGTTCAAGAACTTGGTCCATGTTGACATCGATAGACAGATAATAGTGTGGAATAGTCTGTTTTGACTGCATCAACCTCTGGGCGATCACCTACAAAAGCATTGCAGGAAATCAAAACATTTTGGGTAATGAATTCACAGAAAATATGAAGTGGTCTGTGTGGTCAGTGGACTCACTTTGCGGATATTGCTGATAGGGACGTCCGTGAAGGTTCCTGTAGGTACAGCAGCATAAGCAGGGGCAGCAGGAGGACTGGGGGTGGGTGCAGACGGGGCAGCAGCTGCAGCCTGGTGACAGAAAATTATGTTTTGGAGCAAAAGAAATGAAAAAATTATTTGGATACATTTCACAATTTAATATAAAGTTTATAGGTTTCGTTACAGACTAATTTGGATATGTAGGCAGGACTAGCATGTCATTATTTAAAAAAAAGAGAAAAATATTCAACTAATGTTTTACACTATACAATGAAGTCTTATTTGTTTCAATAATTTTTTAAAATAATTATTATTCTATGCCCAGGGTTTCTGCAGGTTCATTCATTCATTTTCTTGTCGGCTTAGTCCCTTTTTTAATCCCAGTTGGAAAAGATTTCCACTTGCCCCAAAAAAATTATTATAATTTAATACATTTAATAATACAATTATAAAATTTAATTATTAAAAAATATAAGTCAGGTCAGAATCCTCAAGAACGTTTAAACAAATGTTACTGTAAGGCAAGTAATTAAAACATTATATTAAAGAGAGTTAAAAAAGCTATTTTTGAATAAAAGTTTCATTGATATTGGGAGTGTTGGTGATTTTATCATTGTTAATGACCAGATTGAACAAAAGAAAATTAAGTCCTGTTAAAAAAAATATTTAAGACCTACAACACAATATTTCAGTAGATTTAAGACATTTTAAGACTTTGGGATACCCTCATTCTAGTTGGCTTCATAATAATATATTTGATTACCCAATATTTCATATTAAAGAACAGATTAAGTGAAAATATAGTTTTTGTAGTTGGCAATAGTCTTTTTTTAATATTGAGTTTTATTTTTGCTACTCAAACTTTAATGCACTCCAAGAATCTACAGACTTAATTTACATTTGTATTTAGATTTGTGGAGAATTATGTTTGCAGAAACACCTTAAGTGTAATAAACTTAGTGGCAGTTAAATAAATGATCAAATCTGACAATATATTCTACATTTCTTATTTTTGGGTAGCATAAGTTTGATATTAATTTCATGTCAGCAGCTGCGGTTATTTATTTTCATGGCAAGATTTGTGCTGTACATTTACAACAAAAGTTGCATACATTCAATAAAATAATAAACAAATAAAAACAGGAGGAAAAAAGATCTCATAAGACAAGTTCCTTAAGTGATCTTGTGTCTAAGATCTAATTAGATTATTTTATAATCATTTTAAAATATTTTATTAAACAAAAAGATTATGAATAGCTTTCAAGTTTCTTATTAAATAGCCCTGGTAAAAAGTAAATTATGGCAGGAATAATAAAAGGGAATTCTGCAAAACAATGTGTGTTAAAAAATGAAAACAAAGCTTGGCTGATTGCAAATGTAATGACTTACAGGAGCAAGCTTTGGTGGAACAAAACTGTCAATATCTTTCTTGGTGACTCTGCCATCTGGTCCAGTTCCTATTGACAAAAGAGTAGAAAATCCTCACTTCAGTCAGTGCAACACATAAAATTACCAATAAACAATACAAGGAAAAACTGGGCCAATATAAACTAGTCTCTCTTGCAAATGAAACCTAATGAAACCCTAATATCTCCTACCAGTGACTTGAGTGATGTCAACTCCCTTCTCAGCCGCCAGCTTCTTGGCTAAAGGACTGGCAAACACCCTTCCCTTCCTAGCAGCAGCAGGAGCGGCAGGAGCAGCAGCAGGGGCCGGGATGGGAGCTGCTGGAGCTGCTGCTGGTGGTGGAGTGGCCACCTGAAAAGTAAAGTGCATTTTTTAAAAATTAGACTATGATCCAAAGCACACCAGCAAATTTATAATACAACAGCTCAAATATAAAACTAAAAATATGCAGTGGTCCAGTCAAAGCCCAGACCTCAACCTCACTGAAATGTTTGGATGAGTACTGTGCAAAAAAACAAAAAAAACTGCAGAAACGCAAGCACATGATGTGGAAAGGGCAAACGACAAACAATTAATATATAAGTGGAATATTTTCTTGGAATTTAGAAAATTTTGAATTCAGGTTTCAGTTTTTCAATGTAAATTTTAAACATGTTTTCATTTTTAAGTCATGCTCATTATTTTGTGTTTGTTTACTGTGTTGTTTCTTATTCTTGTGTGCTTATAGAATAAGAATATTACAGGGGTTTTAAATTCTTTCATTTACAATTATTTATTGTTGTTTAGGTTAAAGATTCAAAGTAATACTCTTTTTAAGATATGTATTAGAGCACACGATTGTTGTTGAAGCTGTGACTTTGAAGTAATAACAAATATTGGTCTGCGGACACACTCACATACATATAATTCAGAAATAAAATCTCCATATCTTGTTAGTACATATACATTGTGCATACCACAACTAACCGTAATTTATTGTAGCCTATTTCTGACACCCACGCCCACACAGCTGGAATGATTTCAGTATTGCAAAACACAACAAATATTGCAAAGTCACCTTTCACTTGTAGTCATTTCATCAAACTCTTGATATTACAATGGCAGTAAAAAACAAGACCTTGATTTTCATCACAGTGACCTACAAAATGTATTGCATCACATCACGACATGCTGTTCATGTCAATAAAAAAGATGTTGCAATGCACTGTGATTTATAAATGACAGCTATTAAAGCGATAGTTAAACTAATAATAAATATTCTGTCATCATTTACTCTCCCTTCACTTGCTCCAGATTGGTTCTTTCTTCTGTTGAACACAAAAGTAGAGATTTATTAAAAGCTTTCCATATTTTTTTCCCCAACTATGAAATGGCTGCTGGATTTCAACATTCTTCAAAATATCTTCTTTTTTTGCTGAACAATAATGACAAAAAAAGTACTCCTAAAGGTTTGAAAACACTTAAGGGCAAGTAAAATTTCATTTATGAGTGAATCATCTATTTAACGGCAAACACTGTCCCCAAAATAATAGCGTTAAGTGTGCACAACAAATAATGGAGATGACAGAAATCATTACCGGTGTGGGAGCAGGAGGTGGGCTAGCAGCAACCCCTGTCTCTACATAGTCTGCAAATGCACTAATGTCCGATTCCTTTTCCACGATGATACAGAGCGGAGTGCCGAGAGGAACGTCTCTGGTGCCCTCAGAAATCATGATCTTAGCCAGGTAGCCTTCCTCCTGAACCTCAAAACCTGAAAAAAACGAGGGAAGTAATTATTACACAGTGTTAATAAAGAGTGTCTTATCTAATTGTAAACAAAACAGCAAATTTCTTAAAAACTGGTTTATACATTGCATCTGTGTGTACATGTCCAATCAAAAACCTGAGATTATTAAGGTTGTTGTTATTGTTGAAAAGTTCATTAAAACAAAAATGATATTATTAAAATATTAAATATATGACACAAAGAATGCAAAACTATAAAACCAAACACACAGCATACTTTTTATTTAGATGTATTATTTTTTTATTTAAATACATACATGATATTTGTAAAGGAAAAGAGACAAAAAAGTGAAGGTGTGTGTTTGTTTGCGTATAACACTGGATAAAAAAATAAAATATATATTAAATTAAAATAACAATAATAGCTACAGAAAAACAACAACAACAACAACAAAAAAGTTAAATAGTTGAAGGATTAAAAGAAATAAAACAAATGAATAAACAAAAGAATAAAAAACTAATAAATAAATAAACAAATAAAACAAAATAATAATCCTTTCATTGTCAAAAATGACCAGGCATTACCCATACATCTAATGTGTTTGTGCAGACAGGAATACATAAATTATTACTAAATTATAATAATTATAGCCAAAATAATTGAATTAATTTACCGATTGTTGCCTTATCTGTCTCGATTTCAGCCAGCAGGTCTCCCTCACTCAACTTCTCACCTACTTTCTTCTCCCAGCGCTGCACGGTGCCCATAGTCATGGTGGGTGAGAGAGCTGGAAGAAGCACCTAAAGAAAGAAAAACAGGAAGTTAATTATGACATATAATATTACGCTTGCATATGTGGTAGACTGGCACATATCCCAAATGGTTTTATTTCTAAATAAGTAATGATGTAGTCACTTTGATATTCATCCAGATGTCATACCTTCATATGAGGCGGGTAGGAGCTTCCAGGTACTTGTGGGGCTGCAGGAGCAGATGTGGGTGTGGCTGGAGGGGGAGGAGCTGCAGCAGCAGGGGCAGAGCTGGTGATTTTATCCAATGTAAAGTCCTTGAATGAAGAGATGAGCTCAGGTCTAAAGGACAGAGGATGCACATTAATCTATCACATCAATTACACACATTATAAATTCTATATCAGACATACAAAAAAAAAAAAAAACATTAATTTTCAGTTTATAGTTTTGTCCAATATTTACTTGGTCTAATTTTTCATTGCATGTTTATATTTCAAACCTAAAAAACTGGCAAAACAATGTCATTTAGGTACATAAAAGCAAATATTTAGTTTCTCATAATTGAAATGACCAATCAGTTAAATTATAAATACATTTAAGGACTTTCGTTCCCTGTTTACATCTGGTCAGGGATCAACAATATGGACTGCTCGATGGCCCGGGGGCCAGCATGCGACGTGCTCGGGACAGTAGACAGGATTGTTACTGGCCTGATCTGTTCTGCCTTGTCACAAAAGTTTAACTTGCCTGCGACTATTTTTCAATTGCGTATGAATACTTAAAGCTTTTCTGTTTCTCTTTTTTGATTGGATGGTGTGAGTATGAGGTTTATGAGGTTTTGTAAATTGGTAAAAACCAGTACAGCAAAGTGACGGCAACATCAAATTATGAGGCTAAAAGATTGTCTTGGAACACAATGATTTGCTCATTATACATTTATGAAATTTTTTTTAAATATTTAAATTTAGATTAAAACACATTTTTAACACAATATTTAAAACATGTGGCTAAGAAATAGTTATTAACTTTTCCTTTTTTTTGGTGGGGCCAGTGAAAATATTGGCAGGGCAAGTAAAAATCTGGACCGCTGCCCCAATTGGGCCAGTAGATAAAATCCTTAGCGTTGCTGGTATTAAGATATGTTTTTATTCATCTGATTACAAGTGAACAACACTAATTACAAGTAAACAAATGCTAATATAAATGCTAAATAAACTGATCAAAAGCACTTTTCAGCACAGTTTCGACCATTTCCAAAAGTAAATGAAAATGCATTTGACTGGATTGTTTTAGTATTGTACACACTCACATGGAAAAATATATTTTAACGGTCACAAATGACCATCTACTCTCTGATTACTGATCAAATATGTGATCTTTATGGAACGTGTTGTGAATAAGTTTGCCTAAAGAAGGTATACACACTTCACTGTATTGCACCAACACTTAGATTCCAAATAAAATCATAGTGCCATCCATAATCTTTCATATGTTTGTATTTTTGCTTGTAACTGTGTAACAAGGATTTGTTAATTTAATAGTACATATGGTCACATCCAAGTTGAGCTTTATTGTCATTCTGCTACATGTGTGAACATACAGTGGAATGAAATTGTGCCTCGCAAGACCACGGTGCTTCATAAATAAACCATCATAAATATGAACACAACACTGGACGTAAGAGCAATTTTAAATCCATTAAGTGCTCCATGAAAAGTGATATGGAGCATGATGAAATAAAAGAACATGGTCTTTATGAAATCCAAACACGAGTGGTGACAAGTAATACATTTGAGCAAAATATTAATATTAACATAGAATGTTTTGTGCAGTTTTTATTTGAAATTTGATGCAATCTCAACTGAAACATGAAGACAGGGTGGGACATATAGTAGCTTCTCCCCTTTATAAAAAAAGAGCCAATAGCATTGTCTAAACACAGCTCTGCCAGTGAGAGTGGTTGAGCTCAAGCGCATCAAATGAAAAAGCAAATAAGAAGGGTCTTGACGGAGGCGTAACATGTCAAATACTATAGATTTGACAAATCATCTACTAAAGCATGAGGCGATGTCAAAAAAAAACATTGATGCATGTAGGTGAATGACAAACTGTAAGTGTTAGATGTTTATATTAGTACTGAAAGCTGATTTATACTTCTGCGTCAAGCGCACACGTATGGTCCGGCACAGACCTTTGCACGGTCGCATAGCCCTTACACAGTTGCATAGCCGACACTAACAAGCACCTCTCAAGAAATGTAACTACACGTCGCAACGATGCGTAGCACAAGCTCTGTGATTGGGCAGCTTGGTAGCTGTGACGAGAGTGGGCAGTGCTGAGAGCCACGGGCCGATGTAGCGAGTGTTTACAAGTGTCAACTCTGGAAGGGGAGCTCCAGATGGAAACTGTTGTTTTGTGTTTAACTTATGAGTAAAATTGTTGCACGTCTGCTGATTCCCACTTCTGAATGAGCGGGTTTTAGCTACTTCTACATTAAGGTACAAGATTAAGGTACAACCCGCAAAGAAACTCGACACAAAGGAACATAACATAACCTACTGCCAGCTAGCGTTTTGGAAGTGTTATTGCAGAGTAACACAAACAGTATGCAGAAGTATAAATGCACAACTACGTGCAAGGCATGAGCCATGGGTCACGGCGATCGCTCGACGCAGAAGTATAAACCAGCCTTGATACTAACATCTAAGAACTAGTGGTGAAGAAAACAAACTGTATTGGCCAGCCAGGAGGACTCTAGACCAAAAAGCTGGCCGTGAAAACAAAGACAGCTGACTGAAACAAGAACGTCCATTCTTCACCTGCATGAGAAGACGCATCTTCCCATACCTGCAGGTGACAGTAGCTTTTAATTTCATTCCAAAAACTGAAAGTGGAACTTGTGCTGCACAGACACAAACCACAAACAAAGCAGTGTTTATGTATTTTCACAGCACTTCTCTCATTCTACAGAGGGATTCGTGTGTAAATATATCTGATAATCCTTATTGTTTGCAAATATTTAATAAATACAACTGACAACCGGCTTCCTTGTTTTCTGTCAATGTTTGCACCATTGGCGTAGTTTACTTTAGGTTTTGTTCTCGTGTTCAGATTCATAGCTGAACAGCCAATCAGAGAGCTCTCATTCCTGACAGCCAATGCTGATTCTACATGGTAACTCAGGGTAAAGTTCCTACGAAGTTAGTCTGACAAAATGCAATTTAAGGAACACACCAAGTAACCAGACAGATGCTCAAAGACATCACCTAATGGTTGACCGTCAGGTTTGTGTGTCCCAGCCTAATATAATTAAAGACACATAACATATATACAACAAACAGCATATCTTTGCATAGCAGATAAAACTGCACTTACTTGTCAACAGTAATACAAATGACTGCTCCAATGGGCACATCTCTTGTACCCTCTGCAACCAGGATCTTGGCTAGATAGCACTCTTCCAACATTTCAAATCCAACTGTAGCCTTGTCTGTTTCAACCTGAGCAAATCAAAAGACAATTCAAATTAAGTCGGAATTTACCATAAAGCTCTATCCTGATTTGTTGACAAGTGCTTCACTTTGTGGATTGGGTGAGCATTATTTTTCAAAACATTACCAGCTTATCATCTGCTTTTACTTGCCTAGTTTAGCCATCAATATCAAGGCACTAGGTGTTCATTTGGACACAGAAGCAGACTGTGGCGTCTTATTGTTAAAACCCTGATTGTGTCTCACCTCAGCAATCAAATCTCCCTCATTGATTTTGTCACCTTCCTTCTTCTCCCAGCGTGCAATAGTGCCCATCTGCATTGTGGGGGACAAGGCAGGTAGTTCCACCTGTAAGAGAATAACTTTGGTTAAAAAAAAGTCGAATAATGAGCAAGAATGAACAGAATTATTTTCATAAAGCATTATTCATAATTCATTATATATAATGGGGAAATATTACTGTTTTAATGCTTTTGGAACAACTCTATTCAAGGATCACAGCGCAGCTACAAAATACTGATTTTAATTTACATCTTTATGTCTTGCCAATATCCTTTAAATCACTATTTTTGTCAAAATGGATAAACTTTTGTTTATCTGTTAAAATATAATATTAAGTACAAATATAAAAAAAAATGCTGGGTTCCGCACAATTCCTTCATGTTGTCCTAACACAAATTGATTAAGTTAATCATTGTTACAAATTTAAGTGGATTTAACAATTAAGCAAACAATGAAACAACAAAGCTGTGCCCATAAAAACCGTAGGAACTGTGTTTTTAACTCATTTTAAATAAAAGGTTTGAAGAAGCGACATAAGTCATTTTTAAGTGTATAATCATCTATTATTTCATTAATCATTTTCTTTTCGGCTTAGTCCCTTTATTAATCTGGGATCACCACAGCGGAATGAACCGCTAACTTATCCAGCAAACGTTTTACGCAGCGTATGCACTTCCAGCTGCAACCCATTACTGGAAAACATTCATACGCACTCATTCACTACGGACAATTTAGCTTACCTAATTTACCTATACCACATATTGTTGCACTTGTGGGAGAAACTGGAGGACACCCACGTGAACATGGAGAGAACATGCAAACTCCAGTCCACACAGAAACGGCAACTGACCTAGCCAGGGTTCGAACCAGCTACCTTCTTGCTGTGAGGCCACCGTGCTGCTCTATGATTTCATATATTTGAATAAAAGCTGGTCAAATTAAACATTCATTGATCAAGTTTAACTTTTACAAAAACATCTGTTAGACTAAATGCTGTAATGGAAAACTATTTTACATATATTTTGACACTAATATTTACCATACTGATATTTCATAATATGACTAATCAGGCCTCAAATATTAATTAATTAACAATAAAACCTTACAAGTCCATGAATGTGGCTACAGTTTCCTTACAAAACACACTGAGGCTTAATATTTAGAATATTTTAAGAAATATAAGAAAGTTTCCAACTGTATTCAACTTCAACACTGTTTCAAATAGTTATGTCTATGCTGTAACTTAGGTATGTCAACATTAATGGATGTACAGACCTCTGGCAGCCCACAGAATTCACGACATATTTATAACTGCAGAACTGCTTGAACATCTTGAAGGTGACACCAACAGAAAACACGACACAAGGAACTTTTAAAAGGTGCAGTACAGTTCATTATTTTCCCTTGTATTCTTATCCTTTTTCAATCATAGCGACAGAAAACACTTTCAATATATAAAAATGCTAAATAAATAAACGGTTTCTCCATTATTTTTTTGTTCTGTGATCCAGAGAAAGAAAGCAATACACATAATTTTACACAAAATTTATAACATGAATCATCTGATCTCAGCTCACCTTCTGATGCGGCGGCAGGCTGTAGACTCTCATGCTCTGACTGAAAGCGGCCGTTTGGCTTCTCAGCCCCCATGATCTGTTACTGAGGATGCTGTTGCAGACTCGCCGACCGTGAAACGAGCTCCGGATCCGGGCAGGCCCGCTGGAGTGGTACCGTTTGAGATGATGGCAGGACACTGGTCCGGGTCGAGGACTGGCAGCAGGAGCAGCAGCAGGGCCCGAGAGGACACTGGGCCGGGTGAGCCTGGCAGATGGGCGCACTCGCAGCACTAAACGCAACATTTTGAATGTGATGTGTCCTGTAAAACTACGCTGGATTGGAGTAAGGCTACTCTGGCATCAGAATATCTGATACCTGTGGTAGCGGTGGTGTTCTGTTCTCCCCAAAACGTACAGAACAACCTCACTTTCCAATGACCTCCCCACTCCAAAACATCCCACTTTACGACACTCTCCTTCGGCTTCGTCCTCCTGGTGACGCACCAGGGTTGCCAGATATTCACGAGCTTGATGTGCAAAATCCTCCTTATCAAATTTCTTGAGCCTTTTCTGAAATTATAGGGTTGAAAATTGAAATTGTAAATATTTTTTTTTTTTTTGCTTGATCAGAGCTCCAAACATTAATGTGTACATTATTAAAATTATATATAGGTTAAACTTGAGACGACCATTTAGTATTCATTCCTGAAAACTGTTGGAAATGAACTTATATACATCGAAAATCTATTAAGTGCAAGAGTTCATTTTTAAAATATCTTTTGTGAAAATAAAATGTAAAAATAATGTGTAAAATAATATTGCTGTAAAAGATTAAACAGCCGAAGCATATGTATTGTGCCTGAACACACACACACACACATATATATATATATATATATATATATATATATATATATATATATATATATATATATATATATATATATATATATATATATATTTAAATAATTTATATTATTAAATAAAGCTTACACAGTGGTAACCAGCGTATGAAAGAGTACTATTACTTTATGGCAATTTAATGGATGTGTGTAAATCTTGTTCCGAATCTCGCATGACATGATGCAAACATGACATTTTTGCTCAGATAAAAAATTAATAAAATACAAATTTAAATAATGAAAACGAGTAATTTTAATAATGCTGATGCTTGAAATCCTGTTGTCTTTGAACCTTATACCTGTGAGGCCAGTAGACTACAAAAAGTATTTTTTTCCTCTAGTTCATGTGATTATATGTGTAAATATAATACAAACAAGTTATAGTATTAATTTTATTTTGTTACAATTTTACGTTATTGACTGAATATTTCAAAACAACTTTTCACCCCGAGAGGATTAGATTTAAGATACATGGCAACCTTCAAGCTGTCAAAGCCGGTATCGTAAACTGTGAAGAACTGACGTACAACTGCCGTCGAGTCAGTTTAACTATCCACACCTCTATACTGAAGTCGCCTGGACTACAAATCACTCTTCTTCTATTCTTGTTTTGTAGAATTTCCAAATAAATATTAATACAGCGGACTCTACTTATAGTAGTTCCAATGGTGTATAACTTTGTTATATATTGCACAAAAAGAGACAAAACTTGTCATAATTCACAGTTGTAAACACATGAATAAATAATTAATTCAAGTGAAAGGTAGCTGAGGATGTCAATCTATATCATTTCAACATTTAGATTTGTGCTCCACAGATTAACTTCATGCAGGTTTAAAACATGCCAGCTTTATTCTTTGGCTGAATAGCACACTTAAACACTTACAACAGCCTAAGAGAAGTTTACATGCCAGAGCAGCAGTTTATTAAGGTATTTAAGCATATATTGATAACAAAATAAAATAGGCATGTGCTTAGAACAGCATTTATTTTAATGCATTTTTCAGCAAAATAGAAAAATAGAATATACATTATATGCAAGGAAAAGCCCCGTGTAGCATAATGTTGCGTTAGAAGTGCATCATTGTTCTTTTGGTTGTTTATTTGACTATTTTAGCGAGGGCCGCTGCTCGTCTCTCTGTGTTCTTAAACAGGGCTCGGATGAGGCTCTTCATCTCATTACAGGAAAACTCCACCGCCAGAGGCCCTTTGCCCTCTGCCCACCTAAAAAATAAAGAAAAGAAACATGAATAATTTGCCCTACAGTTGACCAGTGGACTATTTTTAGCACATGTTTGTCCACTTATTTACATACTGGCTACTTCATACATAGCTAAATATACACTCTAAAAGTGTCAACATTAAACAAAGATTCAAAGCATACACTTAACAAACAAATAATAATTATCTAACAATATTATCCAATGAGCCAATTCAGTAAAAAAAAAGGAATATATTTAGATACGACGGTCACACTTTACAATAAGGTTTCATTAATATTAACTAATGTATTTATTAACATGAACTAATTACAGAGTATATACATGAACCACAGAGTTAAATTCAATACCTTTTAAGACCTTATTTAAGGTCTCTATTTCCATATACTTTAAGACCTTATAACCACTTTAGGATTCAACACTGACAAGATTTTAACTTATGATATTTATTAAATATTAATGTAAAAAACTAATCCAAAACTAAAACATTATTCATATACTGAATACAAATCTATTAAATCGAGTTAATTCAGCAGGTTGTCGCATAGAGCTGCATGAAATAATGGTGTTGCCTTGGTTACTGCAGTAAACAAAGCAGCATGATGTCAAATCTAGTAGGATCTCATTGATTTCATAAACTACACCACATCTTGATATTGGCAGATTTAATTCAGGCAAACTTTAGCAAACAACCATGCATTGCATAATCAAAAATGATATCAAATTTAATACATTGCAAAACAGCTTTTAAGATTTTTAATACTTTTGAAGGGCTTTAAATATTGCTATGTTGATTTATAAACTTTTAATTCTTTAAGACCCCGCAGACACCCTATATTAAGAACATTTGTACAGCATTTATTAATTAGAGTTTAACCTTTATTATAATAGTTGCATTACTATATTATATGCATTATTAACACTAATATTATTAACACATTAATGCACAGTGAGTTACAATAAACAACAGTATTTTCATTAACTAACATGAATAAATAGTGTAATAAATGTGTTACTTGTTGTTTGATCATGTTAGTAAATACATTAACTAATATGAACTATTACAACCTTACTGTAAAGTGTTACCGATATGGTTTCAAAAGTAATAACAGTGGAAATAAAATGATAAATATAACAGATTTAATAAATGGATCACCTGTCCACGATCTCCTGTAGATTAGCGTTTAGCACCATGGAGATCTCTTTTAATGTCATCCACTTTTTTACATATACAGGAACCTCTTCTTGATATTTTTTGTTCTTGTTCTCATCCGGCAGTGGATTGAAGACTAGTGGTCCCTCTTCTATGATGGTTTGACACAGTGTTCGCAGTCGCTCACCGTCCACATTGGAGATGTCCTGAAATAAGAGCACTTGGCTTAAACAGGGTGTCACACAAAAAAAGGGGGAAAAACAGCATTGTGCACTGCCTTACCTCCAACATCATAATCTTATTAATCAGTTCTAATATTGCAGTATTGAGGAGAGTCCCCATGGCTTTGCAGTATATGTTCACAGGCAGGACATCCTGCCAAACTTTTCCCAACCTCCGCAGCTGATGAATAACCTGAAGGCATCAACAAAAGAATAACTGCTTTCCAATCAGTCTCATCATGGACCAACATTTATCCTTTTAATCATCCTGTTTCCTATACTTTGTTTTATTAAATATAATTATTTGATTATTTGAAGGAGTATATACCTTTGAATTGATTTTAACTAATGAATAAGTGAACACATTATTTAATATAAGAATGTTCAGTGCATTTGCCTGTCTACTACTTTCAGGAGCCAACAAACTAGGTCACACACCAAGAAGACCTTGAGAGGAACTGAGGGCTGAGGACTGGAAGCAACTGTTTCTTTTGTTATTTTTATGAGTTATTACTATCTAAAATGTCTAGAAAAAATGATTTTGCTATTTTTATGGTTAATTCTTTTAAAGTGATTCTACTTATTATTTGTGATAGACTGTGTATTAAGGATATAACTGCCTGAATGTAGATTACACCAGCTTTTAACCAGTTTAGATAAAGACGGCAGAAAGTACACTCAGCCCTGGATAAAAACCGATTGTACTTTAGGTGTGTGTGTTCTATTTGATTTTGGATCCGTTTTACAGGTCTGGAGTCAGCTCTAAACAGTCTAGTGTATGTCTGACGTTTATGCTTAAGATACTGTTCAGAATTGTATGCACAAACCCCACGTGGATAGTCTATCTGTGTTTTAACCAATCAAGTTAGAACACCTATATGTATGACACAGTTAATGACGTTATGTGAGAGTATAATTGTTAAATTTAACTGTTATAAGTACAATTGATTAGTGATTGTAAGCAGAGTGGCCTAGGAACTCATTGCGAGTGTTGAAGCTGGCTTCTGCTGATGAAACTGCAAACTATCTTCAGTAAACTTTATTTATTTATTTGAATCTCTGACTCTGGCTCTTCTTCATCTGACAGACTGCTCATTCTTTGGGTTAAACTGTATACCATCCCTACAACTGGTACAGAAAATAAAAAATATTTATGGTCTATTCTCTGAGTATATACAGCATATTTACTAAATATTAATGTACGCAACTAATCCAAACCAAAACATTATTCATATACTTAATACAAATGTATTAAATTTAGCTATTTCGGCAGGCTGGTGCTTATAGAGCTGCAGAAATAATGGTGTTGCCTTGGTTATTGCAGTGAACTAAGCAGCATGATCAAATCTAGCAGTATCTCATAGATTTAATAAACTACACAGCATTGTGATATTGGCAGATTTAATTCAGGCACATTTTAGCTTACAACCATTTATTGCATAATTAAAAATTATATCAAATTTAATAGCTTGCAAATTCCAAATACCTAGCATTTAAGACTTTTTAAATACTTTTTAAGGGCCTTAAATTTCTCAATATTGATTTATCAACTTTTAATACTTTTTAAGACTCCCTGACACACTTGGGAGATTGTATTTGTGGTGTGTGATCATACTTGTCTGATAGCTTTGCTGGCGACAGAGTAATTTTCTTCATCATCCAAGTTGGAGAAGTTGCGTGCAGTGGACAGTCTCTCCAACATCTCTGCTTTCTGAACGTTCATTTGTGCCACAAAACACAGAGCACCTTATTCAAGCACAAGAAAAACAAACATATTAATATTGAGCATCTAAACTGCCATTCAAAA